ATATATACATACATGCATATATATATATATATATATATATATATATATCATGCACATCAATAAAACCATTGTAAAGAGCTATTGTCGACATACGTATGTACCTCTCACACCATGAACCGGGATGTATAGATATATACCACAAAAATATACATTTTTCGCATGAAAACACGAATAAAAGCAGCAGAATTCAAAAACACAACTACAGAAGAAATCCGTGTTGACTGGTCTATGCACACACTTGCACTACACATACTATCTGACGATCCGTGCACGAAAGTGCCTCTCATCTCCATAAATCGTATTCTCATGCGGTATCGTCGGTAGTAACTCTGTATCAGCAAGGCCGCGCCTTTGTATCGCTCGTGACTGTACCTCTGCGCTAATGCTGCCGTTGCGATCTCTTCTAGATCCATAGGCATCTCGATGTTTTCGTATGCTACCGGAAGATAACTGATACTATTTCTGCGTGCTATCATAGACTTCTTCCGTGCCGGATTCGTTGTGAGGCCGAATAGGGAGCTCAACTTCCCGCTGCCGCTACTAATACCCTCTACATTACTAGCTTTCCCATTCTGGTCCATGGTGCCCGTGATACTATTATTTTGATGGTCTTGTGTATTTGTTTTGTGTGTGTGTGGAAGTGGAAATGCAGTAAGTTTGTGCATCAAGGCTTTTCCTGCGCCTGCAACAGCGCGTACTCTATCACCTTCCAGACTTGGACTTGTGCCTGAATGCTTATCACCAGCTACTACATGTTTCTGTCCAAGTGAGGTCAGAGTCTGCAAACCCTTTGGTCCATTATCGCTGGTTAAGTAAGCTGCACTGAACTTGAGTGATGACCTACGGCGTGGAATTGAACTACCAGAGACAGCTTGATTTATGGACACACGCTTCGTTCCAGACACATTTTCTCTATCACTTACTGCATCTGATACACTCGGGGGTAATACCTTACTACTAATGTTAGGATATGTGAAGGGGCTACTAAAGCCACGGGTAGACCCATCTACGAGTTCTGGCAGTATGCAATTGCCTACTACGCGATTGCTACTCAAGGGAGCCATGCGTACAGTCGGCACTGATGCACTCTTTTTATGTCCTTGCATCTGCCCAACACCCTGAGTGAGCTGCGTAGGAGACATATTATAGCTGTTCATGTGCTCCACGGAGCTACCTGACCTAGAAGCCGACATATGGTTACTAGATGTATCAAGTGCAGGTGAGGCAAGCGTCGAAGCAGGCATGGCAGGATTAGTTTCTTCGCTTGAGAAAGTTGAACTACACGAGGGGCCCGAGGTGCTCATGCTGTGTAGGCTCTATATCGAAACAATATCACATTCAAGTTTAGACATTGATACAGCACGAGAGCTCTACAAGTCTCTCCACATTATTAAGCTAAGATACTATTATGTACTAAACGTACCATCAGCGCACCACAGCACAACGTCAATAATTTACTTTTGGAATTTGTAAATACTGATAGCAGATATTTATTTATAACGATGGGTGATGAACAGTGATACTGGTCGATCTATATATAGATTTAAGATTTCTTGACCTCGGAAAATGTCGTTTATATTTTATATTTGGCACTAAAATAATACATAAATATTTACATTGATTATATTCATAACCTACGCTCAATTCAGAAGGATAATTGTATTTGTACAACATGGTAATGGCTTTTGAAAAACAAGAGAGAGAGGGACCTATGCGTACTTGCGTAGCATTCTAAAAATTCAACATAGGAGGCTATGTCCTATGAGGCTATGTATATTTTATATTGCATTGCTGCGACATCATATTTTAAAGTAAGCGCAATGGGGGACTGCACACAATATATACGCGAAAGATCGAGGCACCTCTTGGTATAAGAGAATCACGAGTACTGTGCCACAGTTGATCCAATACGACTATTAGGCCCACGCGCAAATATATACATACATCTATTAATTTAGCCTTCTGAATACATAGCCTTCTGATGTATATTTCAGTTGGCTATGACATAGCCTCCTAAAAAAGGGAGAGGATTATGGCTACGACATATTTTTGAAATATATTTATATCCACATTTATACATCAATATGACATATATGTATACACACACAACAGGCACTCAAATCACACACACACACACACACACACACACACACACACACAC